GCGAATAAAATCGTATCATCCGCATACCGAAGATTGTTACTGTTCACGCCGTTGATAGAAATTCCCTCAGTACAGTCTTCTAATGCTTTTTCAAATATTTTTTCCGAATAAATATTAGAAAGCAATGGTGAAAGGACACTTCTTTTTATCCGTACTTCGCCAGATATTTGTTGGTCTACCTTGATTTTTGTAGTCTGATTCCAGTAGAGATGTATTGCGATTATCTTGAGGTATCTATCAAACAAGAGCTTGGCGGGAGTGCTGCGTTGCCAAATTGACGTCAAAGTATATTATATTGTTTGGGTTTAGATTTTTCTAACAGGTGCGGACAATGTTTATTGTTTAACGTGTCCAAGTTACAGAAAATGATTTATGACGAGAATTGTTTATTTTTCAATGGTCAGAAAAAAACTTTTTGCAGATGCTTGTTTGTTTGTGCGAAGAAAGATTTAGATTTTATTGGAATTTTCGAAATTTTTATACAACAATCGTTAACAGGATTGCTTATCCTAATAAGGCCTACCAATTCTTGAGCAGGCAGGGTCTGCGAGTGACATCGCCACAGCTGCTTATAGTGATGACGTCACCCGCAGACCTCGATGGAAGGCTTGCCATTCAGGCTGTGCTCGTTATTTGATTTTCTCGTCGATTTTAAATAAGGAAAGGTGATTTCAACAAGATTTTAACGTTCAGGAATTAATTTTTTTGTGTGCGTTGAACTCGAATAATGCATTTTACTCCAAGAGTTGAGGTATGCAGCTGACATAGCAGTTGGCAGACACTTTTAGCTCAATAAGCAGTCCTACTAGAGACTGAAAACAGGATAATCTCTGCCATTTTCTGGACACCTGAAACTATAAGATGATCCGTTTTTTTCCTACGAATGTGCGGAAAAAAAACTTTTGGCATGCACAAAGAGTAATCTTTCCGCACACCCTTCGAAAAATTGTGTTCCGTACTCATAACCGCGAAATTCGCTTTTTTACATTGCTTCGACAATTTGACGTTTAATTCACGCATTGAACGTCAAATTGTCGGAGGAATATCAAAAAAGAGCGAATTTCGCTGTTATGAGTACTAGGCTTAACACTTGCGAGAAATGGTATTTCCCGCACTTGTTAGAAAAATAACTATTTTTTCCCGAATTTGATATGAAAAAATTTTCCGCCCTGTAAGAGAACAAACGAGTTTCCAGTTCCACTTTAACCAAAAGGCAGTGATTCAAAATACAAAATTTGTAGTTTCAATTTTATTCAATTTTCAATTTATTCAATCATAAGCAGTATAATCAAATTATGAAAGGTTATCATATTCTGTGTCCACTCAAAACTCAAAAGGCCGGGATAATAATAATAAACAACTGTGGTGGTGTGGCGTGTCGCTGATTCCAGTCCAAACATGAAAATGCCAAAAATTGCAACGTCGCATATAAATTGTTTCGGGGCTATGTGCTGTGCTATCACCAAGCTCTTATATCTATCAAGGCCAACATCCTTGAGAATTTCCATAAGCTCCTCCCTGTCAAACACTTTCTCATAGTCTACGAAGCTACATCTTTGAAATAGCACTTGAATGCTAAACAGGGCCTCTCTTGTGCTAAAACCGTTACGAAAACGAAATTGGGCTTCGCTCGTGAAGGACTCGCCCTTTGCGTATATTCTTTTATGGATGATCATTGGAAAAATCATGAAAAAGTGGCTGATCAAGCTGAAGGCGATAATCGCTACATCTTTTTGCAGAGTTTTTCTTCGGAAGCGTCACAATTTTTTTTTTGAAAATATTCCTTTATTATTTCTTTTTAATATGTTTAACAATGTTTAACAGACTCTCCAACCAGTGCTGAAAGCGCTGGCTTCGAGAGTATAATTCATAAACTTTTAACAATTAACCATACTTAGGGTTTCCATAAAAAAAATTCGGAATTCAGGACAAATAAGGAGTCAAGAAATCCGGACAAAATCCGGACTTCGCCGAAATAGCTACACGTATTGCATAATATACAAAAAAATTTCTAGTACCAATAAAATATATGTAAAAAATTAAATTTAGACAAATACTTTACGCACTACTTTACGCACTAGTGCGTAAAGTGGAGAAATTTACTAGAAAAAAATTACATTGTCGACATCTGTCATTGACATTATTTCACGCGCTAGTAGGCAATTTTTCGCGAAGATAATCAAGCATAATCTAATTATGCTGTACTGGGTTATGTGATGTGTCAACTGTGTCATTCTCGCCTAACTCCCTCAACATTCAATTCTGGGCCTGCGAATGACGTCACTACCAGTAGCTTATAGTGATGACGTCACCCGCAGACCACGATGGAATTCAGGCTGTGCTAGTGAGTTGATTTTTCCGTCGGTTTTAAATGTAGGAAAGGTAATTTTCGGTCTGTTCTCACACTCCGAGTTTTCCGGATGTTGTTCCGAATTCCGGCCGGACTTCCCCGGACACCCTAAAAACCCAAACATGTGCGGGTAAATCTGGACGTATGGAAACCCTAACCATACTTGATTTAAACCAGTCAGAGGGAATGACGCCCGATCGGTAAACCATATTGAAAAGCTTTACTATTGCGTGTAGTAATTCTTGTTAGGATTTTATTAATTTCTGGACCTGCAACTTTCCTGTTTTTGGATAACTGAATGGCGTGTTGGACTTAGGGTTGCCAGACGTCCCGATTTTGACGGGACAGTCCCGATATTGGACATTTTGTCCCGTGTCCCGATGGACTATGCGTCGGGACGCTAAATGTCCCGATTTCACGAAATTCTTTTAAAAGTTAAAAAAAATTAAAAGTAGGCACTTACTTATTTTTGAATTGTACCTACTTGCTACCCCGAGTTTGATTTTATTTCTCATAACTCTATATTCGTCATCGATAATCACTGTATGGTGGTGGATCTGTTAGTAGCAGCAAAGCAAGTAGGCTATTTCGTGAGATATCATACTGTCTGGAGTCTGGAGATATCAAGGTTTTTTTTCTGTTAGTGTAAAAGAATTACATTTTTGTCCATTTCGATTCTTACTAATAATAGGTGAACATTTTTGGAAATAATTTAGTTTGGGTTTGTTTCATATTTTCCCTTTTATCCAAATTTTAGCCCTTTTCTCATTATTCAAGCTCCAATTTGTCCAGTGCTGACATAGACCTCTATCTTTTTCTGTGGAACATTTCTCAGTTTATTTTTAAATTTTATTAGAAATTTCATGGATTATCAAATTATTCCTAAAAAAAAAGTTTCCCGATTTTTATTCAAAGTCCCGATTTTTCAACAGCTTTTTGATTGGTATTCCCGATTTGTAGATATTTCAATCTGGCAACCCTAGTTGGACTTCTCCCTTAGACCTAAGTCCTTGTCGTGAAATCTCTTCAGGAATGTCTGATCTCTCGTCTTAAAAAAGGTTTTCGATGTAGCTGCACCACTGTTTTTACTTTGTCGTTAACGTCAAGAATTATATAATCTTGACTTTCCAACAGAATGCCGGTCTGTCGAGGTTTGTATACACCATCAACCCTCGCAAGCTGTTTTCTGTGGTTAAGATACGGATTTGAACCATTCCAGAGAAGAGCCTCGGATTCCATAATACTGCAATTTGTTAATTAATATTTTATGACTTACATAAGTACCTACACCATGTTTCAAAATATGCAGAAAGATGGCCAGATTGACGGTACCCTTAACACGTACTCTATCAGGAAACAAGTGGTTTTCATCTCTACACTTAAAAATTCGACCATGGAAGGTGGAACTCATTACCGTATTTAGTATGGAAACGGCCTATATCAGTCATGACGTGAATGTGCCATGGTCTAGGAGTTATAGGTACATACTCCAGCTAACATCAGAATATTATAAGAATGTTCTTTAGGCGGTTACACACGGGCGTGGATGGCTTAATACATATACGTGCATACATCATCAACGTGCAAACAACAACGTGCATGTCGCGTTTGTACAGACGCTCGCACAAAACTGCAGTCTTGCTATTCTTGCTACAGTAATCCGAGTGTGCATACAAAATTTCTAGCGATTCCACATTCAAAAACGCGACGGTTTTTTGCATACACATTGATGTTTTTGGTTGCGCGTTCATGTATGTGCGTACATGTTTTAAGACATCCACGCCCGTGTGTAACCGCCTTTTCTCAGATAGATATAGAATGTTTGCCAAGATCAAGATCAATCTGTAGTATTATCCCTGGTAAACACCTAAGGCGGTTACACACGGACGTGGATATCTGAAAACATGTACGCACATACATGAATGCGCAAACAAAAACATCAATGTGTATGCAAAATACCATCGCGTTTTTGAATGTGCAATTTTGTATGCACACTCGGAACACTGTAGCAAGAATAGCAAGACTGCAGTTTTGTGCGAGCGTCTCTACAAAAGCGCCATGCACGTTTTTTGTTGCACGTTGATGTATGCACGTATACATGTATGTATTAAGACATCCACGTCCGTGTGTAACCGCCCCTAGGTCAAGGCAAGAAACGACACGCTGGCTACGTCATGACTGGTTCCTTGGCGTGGTGGAGGCTTGAGATTTGATCTACACAGGCCTCATGAGGATAAACTATCCTATAATTCCTGTAGTAGCAGTAGTGTGTATTATTCTTGGATGCTCATAGGTAGAATTTTGTACGTAACCCATGCGAAAAGTGCCTTTACTTTACCGAACACGTTTGCAAATCCGTTCGCGAATCCTGGCCGTTCGCCCCGTCCAAATTTATTAAGTGTTTGATCGTCGTTCGGGTCATTATTCGACGTAATGTTCAAGTCTGTACTCACAGTCTGTACAAAACTTATGTTCAAGAACGGTTCAAGTCTGTATGAACTAAAGCTTGAAATACATACTTTTCACGCTGGCGCCATCGTTCCGCATACAGGCGTACTAACTTTTCAGGAATCTGTGATTCGCAGCCTTAGACAATTCGCAGCTTTCAAGCTTTCAACCAACATTCAGCTGACTTTGACAACTTGTCAAAATTAATTGTGACATTTGTGACTCACCCTCCTCAGCATTTTTCTTGTGTATTAGTTGTTTGTTTTACTGTGGTTTTGCCTGTAATTTCTCGAATTTTCAGTGATTTTACTTGTGGCTGACGTTTTTGACCAGGTAAAAAAAAATTCCGTGACAACACAGAACCCATAAACTTAAAAATTTCAGTTTTCCATCTAGAACTCTCCATATCGTGATGAAAATCAAATAGTAATTGTTTGTTATTGATTTGTTTAGACTCCCTTATCTTAGGTGCCACTTTCTTTGTTAATTTTCAGCTAATTGTTCAACAAATACGATTAAATTTGGAGGAATTTAGTCTTCGACGATGGAGGCAGCCCCTCGTCTGCCCATGATCAGCTTCGAGCTTTTCACCTCCCGAGAAAGTGTGCAGTTCGGGAAGAAGCTGAAACCTGTAAGAAAGTTATCAAATAATAATTATATCAGCGTAAATAGATTAGCTATAGGGAAAGACCCCAAAACCCTAATGCTGTAGGTACCTTTTGAGGCCTCTATAGCCATTCCACAATGAAAAAAACAAAAAATATTAGGGCTAAAATTGGGGCCACATGCCAGAAAATTATTGCTCAGATGGTTTTCTTAGAAATCAAAAATTGAGAAACCTAGGGCGCACCCAATTGGACCCTTAACTTTATGTAAAGCTTGGGGTACTCTAATATTAACATTGAATTTGGTGTATTGTAGGTATTATCAAAGAAAGAATGTTAAGGAAATACCTGAAAAAATATCTGAAATGTTGATAAATAGGTGCTATTTCAGGTGCCTTTTATTATCCATGTCATTTAAAAATGAAGCACTGAATTCACTGTTAATGTTGATAAAAAGCTGAATAAATAGGGTCATTACTTCTATATACATACTTTAGATTATAGTTTATTAATTCTTTCCTTTTTTGTCAGTACATTGCAAATTTCTATAATGAAGACCCAGAATCCTACATAACAGAGATAAATAAACTTGACACTCTACGAGCAAGTGCTACTCATCCTAGCATGGACGTTGCTGGCCTTCAGCAATTGAAAAAATACTATTGTCAGCTACATTTCCTAAAATCCAGATTCCCCATGGAACCTGGCCAGCCATGTTTTATTGAGTTTGAATGGTAACTTGAACAATAACAATAAAAAAAGTCTTATATATTTTATTGTTTTTTTTTAATCAGGAAAGATTCTTTGAACATCTCTTGTATTGGAGGTATAAATTTTGAATTGATGGCTATTTTACACAACATCGGAGTGTTACACACAATTTTGGGTGGCCTAGACTCACGCTCAAATCCTGAAGGCATGAAATTGGCCTGTTCCCATTTCCAGTGCGCTGTATGGGCTTTCCAGACCCTCAAAGAAAAATATTCCGACACAGTTTCTGAAATATGCCCCTTGGAGGTGCCCCATTTCTATAAGCAAGTTTGCCTGGCCCAAGCACAGGAATGCATTTTGGAAAAGAGCATGTTGGATAACAGAAAATCAACCATCATTTGTAAGAATTTCATTTTTTTTTTGATAGTTTTTTTATAAATTGTGTTTTTTAGCTAAAGTTGCAGTTCAGGTCTGGGACTTTTACAGACAAGCCCTAGCAGGTCTAAAGGCAATAGATAACGATTTGGTGGGGCGTAATAAGTACATCAAAGAATGGGCCAAATATTTACAGTTTAAAATAGCTTACCACAGGTGCATTTCGTTACTATTCCAAGGGCAACAAGCTGAGGAATTGCAAAAAATGGGCGAGAGAGTTGCTTTTTATCAAGGGGCTTTAGATCATTTACAAGAGGCTTATAAGTGCCTTAGCAGTAAACAGGTGAATATTTTTGTAATGCAGAAGTTTTACTCTAGAAGAGGTAATGACCAAAGCAAAAATTAATATGTTTTTAGTCAAAAGAATTAGCAGACGCTCTAGCTTTCACTACAGATGTGGTTGAAGGTAAAAGGAAAGCTGCAAAAAATGAAAACGAATACATTTATCATGAAGAAGTTCCCGACTTGACAAATTTACAGGAAGCTAAAGGGGCATCATTGGTAAAAGGAATCGAGTTCAGTGTTAATGATCCAGAGGTGAGAATTTTTTCCAACAAAAATTTTCGTCAATATCATGATTAAATTTAGGTGTCAGGACCTGATATTTTTGCAAGATTAGTTCCAATGGAAGCTCATGAAGCCGCCTCAGTATACAGTGAAAAGAAGGCTGAAGTTTTAAGAAATATTGGACAAAGAGTTGAAATCAAAGACCAAGCTTTAGTGGAGTTTATGTCTTCAATGCAGCTGGACATGCTCACTAAGGTTAATATTTGCTAAATATTTAGAATTGGCTCTAAAACTTATAACATTTTTTCCAGATGCATCAAGCCACAGGTATTCCTCAAGAACTAATTGACAGAGCTGCTTCGTTGTCAGCTAAACCTTCAGCCACCCAAGCCTTAGTGGATTCTATGGCTTGGCTTTCAAATATTTACCATGATGTAGAAGCAAATTTGAATGAAATTGACGCCCTTCTCAAAGAAGAAGAAGACAATGAGAAAAATTACCAAGAAATCATGGGTAAAAGACCTCCTAGCATAATAACAACTGACTTAGCAAGGGAGGCCTTTAAATACAAAGAAGCTCACAGTAAGGCCAAGGAATCCAATGAAACTTTAAGTAAAGCCATGATGACGCATTTGGAGAATCTGAAGATTCTTCAAAGGCCTATTAGGGAGCTGCAGAAAAAATTACCAAGTGTGGAGCTGCCTGATCCTAACATTGATCAAGAAACTTTGAAGGAATTGGAATTATTGAACTCGAAAGTGGATGAAATGAAGTCTCAAAGGGCCATGTTGTGGGCCCAGCTAAGGGACTCTATACACAATGATGATATCACTAATGCTTTGGTTACTAAACAGCCAAATCAGTCTTTGGATGATGTTTTTGGTAGTCAACTGGAGAAACATGGACATTTGGTAAGTCTGCTTTTTTAATTCATCTACAAAAATATTAATTTTTTAAATTTCCTATTATTTATATTTCAATGCACATGAAGGAGTAGAAGTTTACTATTAGTATTACTATTTTCTAGATTGAAATCTTAGACCAGAATCTCAATGCTCAAGACAACATCAAAAAAGCTTTTGTAGATTGCTATGCAAGAGCAGTAAACACCCGCCGGTACATCCAAGACATAATCCAAAAGCGAAACTCTACAATACAAGCCCTAATGGCTTCCCACGATTCCTATGATGATCTGTTGGCCAAGGCCACAAAAGGAATTGAATTTTACACCAAATTAGAAGGAAATGTCTCTAAATTGCTTCAAAGAATCAAAAGCGCTAGCAAGGTCCAGCAAGAAGAGAGAGAACAAATGTTAGCCAAGAATGTTACTACAAAAAAGACATCAGATGTTGACATAACTTCTGTTGGAAATGTTGCTTCAGCCCCAAAACTCAAAGATTATTTGGAGGCTAGAAAAAAAGCTGCAAGCTATAGTTATCCTGTCGATAACACTCAAAACTGGCCCCCTGGTGTAAGACCCGCTCCTGTAGGCTCTGAAATCAATACTGATCCTACAATAAGAATGCCGAATGAGGCTTATTACCAGCAAACGCAGCCTCAAAATTATCCTCCAACCAATAATTATGACACATTGAATAGTATGACTAGCCAAATGGCAGCCTTGTTACGAAAACAAGATCCAGTATATTCCTATAGCAGCTACACTCCTCAAAATTACACTCCAGCTTCTTATAGCTATGCTTCTCAACATTATACGGATGTCCAAAGCGTGCAAAGTCCAATCAATGAGGCTAGTAAGGCTTCAACATTAACTACCAATACTTATAATCAGATCATTCCCAGCTTGACGCCTGGGCAACAGCAACAATATTCAAACAATGGACAGTACTTGCCTTCAGGAAATTATGCGCAAAATTCTCAGATGCAGTATCCACAAAGTCAAACTCAACAGTATCCGCAACAGCAGCTGTATTCTCAAAGTCAAACTCCCCAACAACAGCAGTATTCTCAAAGTCAGACTCCTCAGCAGCAGCAGCAGTATCCCCAAAGCGAAACTCCCCAGCAACAAAAGCAATATCCTCAAAGTCAAACTCCTCAACAATATACTCAGACACAGCAGTATCCTCGAACTCAGACGCCTCAACAGCAACAATATCCTCAAACAGAATATAATCAAAATCGATATGTATTTGGACAGCAGACTTCTCAGTATCCTCAAAGTCAAAGTAGTTCTCATACACCTTCAGCTGGATATACACAGGCTTCTGAATATACTTCTTTGGGCTATGGACAGCCATATGGTGCTGCTCAAAGCGTGCCTTCTTCTCAAGCTGGAGGTACAGTGACATTCTATTAAATTTAAATACTTATTGGTCTTTTGTTTCATAGGGTCACAGGAAGCTTCTATGGGAAGTGTACAGCCTGGAATTCAGGGCGCTGAAGCTCAGAATACTGGTAAGTTGTGTTTTTTTTTTTTAAATCTAAACTTCAACTCAAAAGTTTGGGAAAGTATAAGCAATAACTTATTAAAGGTCTCCACCATGGAGATTCCTTATCAGCCTATGCCCAGTACCAAGCCACCCAAACAAGCAACGCTCAGCAAACCTACTTTCCGCAAGGCTACGCTCCAAACTACACCAACCCTTCCAGTGTATTGTCTCAAAACACTTTCGACATGCTCCAGTACCAGCAACAATACTACACGCAGCGGCATTCCTCGTCAGTGGCTCAAGACTTAACCAAAATGTACTCCACGTATTCTTCACCTACTAGCGATGCTTATAAAATACAACCCAACTTGGTGGGTGGTAGTTATATTATGTCGACTGCAACAACGCAGAGTGGTCAGATGGCAACATCTACTGGCGGTAAGAATCTATTTTAGAGAAATTCGCAATTGACATAATTGTGTTATGTGTTTTCAGCTAGTACCACCCCCACTGGGACAGTACCAACTGCCCAATCATCCTACTATCCTTACGGTAGCGTTTATGGGTACCAGAACCAAGGGACCTGTGGAAATACTATGGCATACCCTTCTCAAATTGGTGCTACTTCCGTGGCATCTCAGCAAGTTGCAACCGCTACATCGAAGGAGTCAAATGTTGATTTATTGACAGGTACAGTATCAATGTTGCTACAAACATTCTGTTAAGGCTTAATGATAAAAATTCAGGTTTGGATTTTTCCGCAACTAGTAACAACATTCCCACTCTGACACCTCAGGCAAATGTGGTGCCTGAAACCCAAAAAGAACCAGAAAGACCCAAGATTGTTGAAGTGAAACCAGCTCAGCCAAGTCTAAAAACTTCTGAAAGTTTAGTGGCGCCATCCCCTAAGAAGAATAATATTAGGGTGTTGCCTAGCAAGCCTTTGAACAATAGTGAGGTAAGATTATCCAAGTATAGGACAAAAATCACAGTATTTATGCTGTGGTATTTGTCTTGAGAATTTCATACATCTGTCAAAACTGGTATTCCAACAATGAATTGACATGTTTTGATTGTTGATTTGAACCAATCAGATTGTAACTACGCGATAATTTGCACTAGTGCAAATTATCAGATAATTGCATACTAACGTGCGAAAACTGGTGTTTTGACATTTTTTGACAAAAAATTTAAATTTTTGATTTATGAAATTCTCTCATTAAATACAACTCGTGCAATGGAAATATATTTATAATTTTCGACAAATTTGCACTCATGCGTTTTTAACTGACAACTAAAAATGCATTCGGGCAAATTTCCCAAAAATTATCAATAATTTCCATTGCACTAGTTATATTACTATTGATAATATTTTCTGAGTGAGATGAAAAATAGTTATGTTTTTACAGGTCAAATCTCTCTTCAATCAAGAATTGGAAAAATTTGAAAAATACGTCGAAACCTTAACAACCAAAACTCTAAGCGGTCCAACAATGTTGGATGTAAAATGGAAAGAAATCCAAGACAACCAAGAATTGGACAACCAAAAAAAAATTATATCCATTGCCAGGTGTTATCCAATGAAAAACCGTTGCCCAGATATTTTACCTTACGACTATAGCCGAGTGGAACTTCGGACTACAAAAGACGATTACATTAATGCCTCGTTTGTACAACAAATATGTCTGTTTGGTCCCGAGTTTATAGTGACTCAAGCGCCACTAGCATCGAGTTTTGGAGACTTTTGGGCTATGGTGCGTGAACAACAAGTGGAACTGATATTTTGCCTTTTGAATGACAATGAGGTAATCAGAATATGGTATAAATTGCCTACATTTTCTTATTAATTTTCTTATTTGTCCATAGATTGGTGATGATATTTATTGGCCCAAAGAAAAAGGCCAAAACTTGACGATCCTCAATCAAAACTTGGTGATATCGCTGCAAAGTGTGATAGTAAAAACTCATTGGACTGAAAGGATAATTTCTTTGAGTTGTCCTGAAAAGAAAGAGTCGTGGGTGGTGGTGCATTTGCAGTTTACTTCCTGGCCAGGAAGGTAGGTACTCAATTAGAGTCTGAATTTCTGTAGAAATTGTCAATTTTGTGATGGCTTATTTCTCAAGGAAAAATCGTCATTGAAAGGTGTTCAAGTAATTCTGTTAACACACTTCCTCTGTTAAGAATTTAGTCTGCATTCTCATTACCTAATTAAATGTATCTTCTTTATTAAATTTTGTGTGTGTTATTGATTGTAAATAAAATAACACAACATATACTGTCAAAGCTATGAACATTTTATACTGAGTAGATAGCTAAAACTATCAAGGAAATCTGTGACTGAAGTGTGATATCTACATATTTCAAGCCATAAAAATATCATTTGCTCAATTTTCGCAAATATTTAAAAAGTTCAAATTTTAATTTTTGATGCTCTGGCAGCAGTTATTATTAGAAATATCCCAAGATTTGTTTATTATAATTCCACTATTACACTAATACTCAAAGTGTATTCTTTTGCAGCTTATTTCCAACAACCCCTGAGCCATTCATCAGCTACATTCTAGAACTAATAACTCTGTTCCAACAACAAAAATCCATCAGCCATCCCTTGTTAGTTCACTGCTCTTCGGGGATTGGTAGAAGTGGACTAACATGTCTGCTAACTAACGCCATTCTAGAAGTAACCAACCAATCAACATCGATTCCAGATTTGGCACTGATGAGTGCTAAGTTAGGAAATTTCAGGAAGAATATTTTGAGGGACAGAGAGCATTTGAAGTTTGCCTATGAGGCTTTGTTGGGTTACATGAAGCAGATGCTTTTGCAGGATAATTTGAAGAAAAAGTTGAGTGAAGTTGTTCCAGTGAATGAGGAGGAAAATAAAGTCAATGTTGTGGAGGCGCAGGAAAATATTATTGACCCTTTGAGTACTTTAGATCCTTTTTGGGCAAGTAAAAAGTAGTTATTTAAATCTTCTTTTTCTTTAGGCTGATTAGATAGTATCTTTTTATCATGGATAATATGTATTATTGTAAAAAAATTAAATATTTTATTGTTGAACACTATTATTTATATGAAATAAATGGAATATATAAAATGTTTATGTCGCCTCTGTAGAGCTAAAATGGGCCAAGTGGCAATTGAACCATTTTTGAGATAACCGCCACAGTAACCGCCGTGAAATCTTCATACCCCAACTCACGTTCTGTAGAAAAGTGACAAGCGGCATGTACATAAACTTATGTAGACAAGAAAAGTACAAATAATTGCAAATAAATAATAATTATCAAAATTGCAATTTTATTCGAGGTTTTCTTGGTTTTCTCAACAATCTTGTATTTGGCACACAGCCCCTTCTCGCTCTACAGGGGCGATGTGTTTCATTGAATTATTGACAAGTTCAGTTAATGGATGATTGATGGAATGAAACTTGAGATAATATAAAAACAGAATTGTATTTAAATAATAAAATCTTGCATAACAATAACAAATAAATAAAAAAATAACACCTAAACAATAAATTAGATTGTAAAAACATCTAAAAACATCTATCTTAAAATTAATTACAAGATTCTGTAATGCTTCTGTTCTTTTTTGTGATGCGCATCGTTTTTGGAAAACAATTTTCCTGCTAACTTTTGAGACACATAAATTATCCATTCACACGAGGACGGTACGTTCCTTATATTATTTCTAATAAGAGGATCATGGTTGTACAAATGGCTATTGGCGATCTTGCAATATTTGCTCATATCTCTGTAAAAAAAAAATGACAATATAAACTGCGATAACTATGGTTTATTTATCCCTCACCTCCATGGCAACATTAGCCAAATGTTCGAAAGTAGATTTCCCAGTTTCCTTGACTAAACCGTAAAATATGCCTTCAGGATTCTGGAGTAACAGGTACGGATGATTGAATTCAATAGCTTCGCCTGCATCCATCACCAGTACCTTATCCGAATCCATAACTGTATGTAATCTAAAAGTAGATACAATTTCGATCATCCATTATAGCAAATATCCAGACAAATTACCTATGAGCAATAGTAAGCACAGTACAGTCAGCAAGCTTCGTTCTAATAGTAGTCTGGATCAGGGCATCAGTTTTAGGATCCACATTAGCAGTAGCCTCATCCATAACTAAAATCTTATTGTTGCGCAATATAGCTCTGGCCAGGCAAATCAATTGTCTTTGACCTAAACTGAAATTTGAACCATTTTCAGACATCCTACTATCCAAACCACCTCTTAAATCTGACACTACATCTTTTAGTTCCACTTCTGCCAGAGCATTCCAAATTGCTTTGTCATCGTAAAGATCGAAGGGATCCAAATTAGATCGGAGAGTACCTAAATTAGAAACAGTATTAGAATTTTGGAACTACAACAGCAAGCAATTGGGATACCTGAAAATATGATAGGTTCTTGTGGGATAATCGATATTTTAGATCTCATAGTTTTCAGGGGAATATCCTTGGTACAAACGCCATCGATTAGAATTTTGCCTTCAACATCAGCAAGGCGAAATAGTGCTGCCATTATGGAAGACTTTCCGGCTCCTGTTCTGCCTACAATTCCAATTTTTTGACGAGGTTTAATTTTAAAGGTAAGGTTGTTGAGCACGTAGGGTTCATTGGTGGCATACCTAAAATCGCACATAATGTGTTGTGTTATTCATTAAAAAAAAAAAAAAAACTGAATAATTCTTACCTCAAATAAACCGACTTAAATTCCAACAACCCATGCTCGGGCCAATTCTTTTGCGGTTCTTTGACTTCTGCCTTGATTTCCTGATCTACTTCAGAGTACTCAACTACTCGTTCTACTGACGTCATGTTGTTCTCCAGTTCGCTCCATTGGCGCATGCCCCACTGGAACATTCCTGTGAGGCTCATGGCTTGAGTGATGGCTAGGCCGACATTTCCACCGTAAGTTTCTGGAAAAAAGAATTCGTACTCAGACGGAAAATTATATTTAGTCGGGAAAGTAAAACTAGGCATTAGGAAGTCCTTGAACTTTTGAGGGTTTCATTGTGTTTTTTCAGGCTTTCGCTAAAGTGGGGCAGTGATCCTGAAAAAGCGCCGACTGTGAAATGTAACTGACTTTTAAGTTTATGCTTGTCCTGTCTCTGCGGAATTTTTTTGGTAATTTCATTCTTTAATTGGTTTTTTTGTAAATTTACTAGGGCTTGTGTGCGTTGGAATCAATGACGAAGCAGCAAATCTATTGAATTTGAAGTTAACTTCCATTCTCCACACATTACCTGTCCTGTTTGGAAATTATCCAATCACCACTTATTCACAGTTTGATGGAGAGTTATATGAACAAACTTATGTATGTAGTAAAAAAGTATTTTCCGGGCTACAATGCATTGGGCTATTAGTATTTCTACCTACGAAAGTTACTAGGACGAAGTGTTCTCTTCCGTGTTCCTCCGATGACTGAATGTGACGTTGTTGTATCTGCGTTATTTATATCCAGTGTTGTGGGCGTGGCTTGTATTACACTATTTTCCTTGTCTCGTTCTCGGAAATGAAGGGTCTTTGTTTTTCGGAGAACTGGCAACCAGCTTTTCTTGTGGTTCATGCCCTCTTCTTTTCTGTTGAAGTTGTAGTGGTGTTTCTGTATATCTATGGCTTCTCTGTGGAGTCGTATGTAAAAATGTTTGGTTCTATCCAATGCTTGAGTCTGGTCGAAACAAATTACATGGTTTGTTTGTGTAAGCACGTGTTCGGCGATTGCTGATCTATCTATTTGTCCTTGCTGACAGTTTCTTTGGTGCTCTTTGACCCTGGTGTTGATAGAGCGTTTGGTTGTTCCTACATAGACAGATCCACAAGAGCAGGGAATTCTATAGACGCCAGCCGTTTCAAGAGGTGCCCTAGGATCCTTGGCCGATCATAGACTTTGCTGAATTGTTCTTGTGGGCTTGTAGATAGGCTTAATGTTGTGTCTTTCTAGCGTTCGTCCTATACGATCTGTGACATTTTTGATGTAGGGAAGAAAAGCTCTCCCTGCCACCTGTGCTGGTTCCTTGTTATTTGTGCGCGGTTGCTTCGGTCTAATGGCTCTATTTATCTCCTGCTTGAAGTACCTACCCATTTCCTTCAAGTGCTGATTTTAGGTGTCGCATTTCGTCCTGGGTTCACAAATCCGGATTGCCCTGTCAGATGGAGTTTTAATGACTCCTCTCTTTTGCCTAGGATGGTGATTGGATTCCTTGTTGAGGTAACTGTCCGTATGCGTCGGCTGCCTATTGTAGTGACTACAGAAATTTTAATCAAGAATAACAAGGACTTACCAAACAACCATCCCAGGAGAGATCATCACTTAGACAGCACAACCAGAAGTCGTACCTAGGCCCTACTAGATTCTAGAGCTGTAGTATCCCTAGTTAAACCCGAGATTGCCCAGCGGTTCAGGAAGGAAAAATTTAACATACATTTAGTGGACATTCAAGATAATAGAATACCAGTGAAAGGAATGGCAAATATACCTATGATGTTTGAAGGAAATATCTTGGTGAATCGCACAATTTTGTGGTTGTGAATACGGATTCATTACGAGCAAAACTGCTTTTGGGAATAGATTTTGTGCGCCAATATGGTATAAAAGTAGACTGGCAAAATAATTGCATGTACGCTTTCGAAAAGGAAATACCTTTGTATGAATAAGATTACGAAGATCAGGATTATTTGGTACAAACAGTGGAGAAAGAATTAAGAGAAAAAGTTAAAAACTTAGAAAATGAGCTAAATGAGCTTAGGAAGTATGTGAGGAAAAGAGATGAAAGTTACGAGCGCGAGAAGGAAAAGAAAACAACGACTAAGTATGCGACAGATTTTGGAAAACATGATTCGACGTCACTGCACATGATGAAGAATCAAAGTTTTAAAGCGATGGGCAGTCGCTGGGAAACTAACACCAACCATCCAAGTAGTCCTATGTCGAAATATGCCAATCATGTAAGCTACATAAAACAAATTATCAACCACCCGTAGCTATGCAACAGAACATAGTACCACCATACCACCAATTCCTTGGGGAAGAATCAGCATGGACATTGTTGGACCTCTGAATAAAACAAATAATGGCAACAAATACATTCTAACTTGCATAGATTTTTTTAAATGATATCCTGAATGCATACCAATACCCGACATCAGGGCCGAAACAGTATCCAAAGCATTCGTAGAAAATATTATCTGTCGATTTGGAGCGCCAAGAGAGATTTTAACGGACTATGGTACACAATTTTTGAGTAAATTATTCACAGAAATTTGCACCATATTAGGAATCAGGAAATTGAAAACAACCCCTTATCACCCGAGTGCGAATGGAATTATAGAGATTCCACGAAATCATAAAGACCATGATAAGTCACTACGTAGACGATCACCATGACAGTTGGGATGAAGTATTACCATTGTTTAATAGCCTACAGGAACCTACCGCATGAAGCTACGCAAGATTCCCCATTCTTTCTAATCTTTGGACGATATATGGAACTCCCAGTACATTTAATGATTTCAAATGGATCAATAATATATGGCCTAGACGAAAATTATGTCACAGAGTTCGTAACAAAAATGCAAAATGCTCATGAACTAGCAAAGAGAAATATAGAAGCAAGTATTAACAAACGATGTGACAAACATAATGCTAAAAGAATTCGGAAGGAATTTCAAGTCGGAGAATTTGTAGAAATTGTAGAATTTCCACTTATACACCGAGAACGAGAGAGAGAAAGTAGCGAAAGTGAAACCTCAGAAGAAGAATCTGAGAGCGAAGAAGAAGAACAAGGAGAAATAACTGACGAAGACTCAGGTGAGAACTCCGATAATGAACCGAGAAATCCTGAAGAACCAAGGCGTACTAGAACTCGAGAAATTAGAATGCCTGGAAAATTCCGAGATTTCGTTTTATAGCCTTGAAAGATAAGAGACTATACATATTTACGATAGAAAGTAAAAAATAGGATTTATAAATACGTATAAGTAAATAGGATAAGGAGAGAAATAAAAAATTGTTATGTGGAATTACCAGTTACAGCCTATAATGAAAGCTATTTCATTTCACCTGTCACAAGAATACTTCCAAAGCACGCCGAACAGACAGAATGTAGTACCCTAATTCCACCGTTATACTATATAACTTACCACGATGCAGTAGAAAATTATACGTTTAGGCCAATCAAAGACTTAGGCTCAGGAGGAATTTATACCAATAATGAAAACCATATTTGGACTGGAACGGAATGCATTAAATAATATGAGGTCTGTTTCTGCAGAAATTACAAACCAGTCAGAGTGAATTTCATTGGTTTGTAATTTCTGCAGACACAGACCTATAATCAACTTATTTAGTAAAGAAGAATTGGAACAGTGAACAGTACTATTAAAAAATTGTATGAATATTTTACAATTTTGGGGGAGTGGACCAGCGGGATTCTGGGAATTTATTTCATAATAGGGCCACACTTAATCACATTTCGCGAGTAAGTAAAAAGAAGACATTATTTTCTCGCTGACGTCATGACGAATTCTTACCAGTTGCTACTCTACCAATCTGCGAATTCAAGATAGAAAGTTATCACAATAAAATATAATTTCGATTAAAAAAGGTGGGAGGAATGTAGTGACTACAGAAGTTTTAATCAAGAATAACAAGGACTTACCAAACAACCATCCCAGGAGAGATCATCACTTAGACAGCACAACCAGAAACTTCAATTAAAATTTATCTGAATATCAATATCCAGAAATTATTGAAAGCCGATACCCTATATTGACTAATACATTGGAATGTGAATAAAGCAAAAATTCATGGAACTTTTTTTAAGTGCTTTCAACAGTTAACATTCCAAAGGAGCCGAAAAATTTCTACACCTTTTCCATAAGTATTTCAGAATGTATCACTTGTATTTCAGATTCATCAATTCTAGTTCAGAATACGTCAATTGTATTCCAGTTGAGTAAGTTTAATTTCAGAAAGTGTTATTTGTATTTCAACTTTGTTAGTTGTAGTTCAGAAAACATCATTTGTGTTTCAGATTGGTCAGTTGTATTTCAGAAAAAGTAATTTGTATTTCAGTTTAGTCACTTAGATTTCAGAAATCGTCATTTGGGCTTCAGATTATTTATTTGTAGATCAGAAATTGTAAATTGTATTTCAGAGTTCGTCAAATGTATTTCAGATATTATCAATGTAGTGTATCAAATAAAATTTAAAATGAGTCACCTATACACCTATCTTGTGTTGGTTTCGGAAAATCTGCGTAGATACCTGATGATTTCTGAACTACATCTGACAATTTCTGAAATATAATTCACGTTTTCTGAACAACAATCAACTAATCTGAAATACAATTGACGCTTTCCGATATTAAATTAGCTAATCTGAAATACGATTGATACTTTCTGAAATAAAATAAACTAATCTGAAATACAATTGACTCTTTCCCAAATAAAATTAACTAACCTGAAATACAATTGAAGCTTCCTGAAATACAATTTACTGATCTAAATTTCAATTGACGATTTCTGAAATTAAACTGACGATCTCTGAAATACATATAGAAAAGGCGTAGAAGGAGCAATAAATCATGCACGAGCATATGTGATGATACCCACTTAACAAACCACTTAGCGACGCCCTTGATAATTAATTAAAAGGGGACCAAATACACTAATTGATCGGATGATTCAACCACAAAAAATCGAGGTCGGAAAAAATAAAGAAATTCAAGACAATGATATAAAGAGGCAACTTTGGCAGGAGAAAATCGGTATTCGAGAAAAGAGTGTTCGATGAAGAGCGAGTAAACGGGCAGAACTACGGCGTGGAAGACCAGTGTCGGTTGAGTAATCAAGAAACAAGTAGTAATCGAGAATCGAGAGACCTGTGTCCAGAAAGTCAGAACTACGGCGTGAAAGAGTTGTCGAATTAACCGAGAGAAGAAGCACGACGTGAAATAACAGCGCGAAAATTTTATTTTAATTGACCACAATATTTCTGCGTTTTACTCTCCACCCGCAAATAGGACCTACTTTAAACTGTGTCTCCACTCAGAAACTAAAGTCACCGCTCGTCAATTTAACATCTTGGCAAGTTTATGAATTTGGGGTCTCACACTATATACTCTGTGACCCAGTTTACCTGAGGGTAATCTTTCTAAGAGGACGCCGCCGAGGAATGCAATTTTGTTGTCCTTCTCAACTTCCATCGTAAACTGTATCCTGGGTTCTATTGAGTTTAGATGATTAAGGAAGTTTTCGAGCTCTGCCTCTCCATGGTTCCAAACAACAAATGTGTCATCTACATAGCGAAACCAACAAGTAGGTTTCTTTGTGGCCGTTCGCAGTGCCATTTTAATCATCTAAACTCAATAGAACCCAGGATACAGTTTACGATGGAAGTTGAGGAGGACAATAAAATTGCATTCCTCGACGTCCTCTTAGAAAGATTACCCTGAGGTAAACTGAGACACAGAGTATATAGGAAGCGGACGCCTACGGACAGATACCTCAACAAGGAATCCAATCACCATCCTAGGCAAAAGAGAGGAGTCATTAAAACTCTATCTGACAGAGCAATCCGGATTTGTGAACCCTGATACCTTCAGGACGAAATGCAACACTTAAAATCAGCACTTGAAGAAAATGGGTACCTACTCCAAGCAGGAGATAAATAGAGTCATAAGACCGAAGCAACAGCGTACAAATAACAAGGAACCAGCACAGGTAGCAGGGAGAGCTTTTCTTCTCTACATCAAAAATGTCACAGATCGTATAGGACGAACGCTAGAAAGACACAACATTAAGCCTATCTACAAGCCCACAAGAAAAATTCAGCAAAATCTAAGATCGGCCAAGGATCCTAGGGCACTTCTTGAAACGGCTGGCGTCTATAGAATTCCCTGCTCTTGTGGATCTGTCTGTGTAGGAACAACCAAACGATCTATCAACACCAGGATCAAACAGCACAAAAGAAACTGTCAGCAAGGACAAATAGATAGATCAGCAATCGCCGAACACGTGCTTACACAAATAAACCATGTCATTCGTTTCGACCAGACTCAAGCATTGGATAGAACCAAACATTTTTACACCAGACTCCACAGAGAAGCCATAGAGATACAGAAACATCACAACAACTTCAACAGAAATGAAGAGGGCATGAACCTCAACAAAAGCTGGTTGCCAGTTCTCCGAAAAACAAAGACTCTTCCTTTCCGAGAACAAAGACAATGAAAATAGCGTAGTACAAGTCACGCCCAAACCCTAGATATAAATAACGCAGTTCCAAAACGTCGAATATAGTCATCGGAGGAACACGGAAGAGAACACTTCGTCCTCTACCACACCGCCTCTGAAGATGTCTACCGCAGCAGTAGACGAAACTTTAAGTAGAAATACTAATAGACCACGGCATTATAGCCCGTAAAATACTTTTTTTACTAGATTTGACCGGCCGTGAAAGCCTTCATTCTTTATTTAAACTTATGTATTTAGATGCAATTATTTCATGAGGAAGGTAGAACCATTGCCCTTAAAATCAACTCTAAGGAAATCTAAGAGCCTGCAGTTACGTGCATTACACTTAAACAAATCTAGAACACTAAGTATATAGTTAGACAAAGAGCTTACCCTCATACTGCTATAAAATAGAAACAACTATGCAGAAAGATTGATAAAGTTATAGAAAGTGGAGGAAATGGGTAATGCATTTGGAGAATATTTTGTCATATTAGCAGAGGAAAAAATTGACGAACATTATTAGGAAAAGATTAGACAAATTGATTTTATACTAAAAGTTCTTACCATTTCCAATGAAGAAGAAGCTCAAAGTGACCAAAGCGGTGAAAATAATACAGTGAAAATCTAGCCAAAATCCAAAAGTTTGATTGCTACACAAAAACATGTAAAACGCCGAACTGTGTATGTCCTGAAAGTTATCGAATTCCTTTTTCAGTATTTCCTGGGCTCCGTAGGCTCTTATCGTTGTCAATCCTTGAAGAGAGGCATTGATGTGAGAGAAAACTGGACTACGAGCTAGAAAAATATTATAAATAATGTATTTTTTTCAAGTGCCAAAATCCTTACTGGTAGCTTCCATCCTCTTGATATTCCTGCTGGTTCTCAGAAAAACGTTTTTGTAAAAGTAGAACATTGCGGCTATAACGAAAGTTGGTATTAGAATCCACGCGTCTATTGAGGCGATAACTATGTTGACGGCTAAAACATTTAGGGCTATCTGAAAGAAAAAATGATATATTTGATGAATTTATGTCAAAAATATTGTGTTATGGTGTAGGTACCTGTATAGTATCAATAAGTACATAAGGAAGTTTCTCGTCAATGGCGCCCATATCTTTGGAGAATCTGTTCAAAACTCTTCCGGAACAATTGGTATTGAAGAATCTCATTGTGGCATTGATTATCCTAGAAAAATATTGAAATATAATCTATTTGGATTTTTAGCTCTTATAACTAGACACGTTAAGCTATTGTGAATTTAAAATTAATGATTCTCACCTTCCAAACATAATATTATGCATTTTTACCGATGCCATCATACAAAACTGGAAAAACGTTATGGATCTGACAATAGTGAGCACTATTACAGCTACGACAAATGATGAATAAAAGTAAAAACAAACGTCCGTGGTAAAAAAGGCATCAATCCAAGTTTTTTCCTCTTCCTTAATGCCAAACGTAATGATTTTATCATAGTTTTTTTCCAAATAAATTTCGTCCTCGTATGATTTGAAGATTGTGTCGTTTCTGATGAGTTTTTCGGATCGGGTTTGCTCGAGATTGACCCTAAAAAATTGGCAAGAATAAAATCTTGTCACTTACAAAAACATTGTTCTTACCAGAATTTAACGAAATAATCAGCAGAAGTAGAAACTACTTGAGTGATAACGAATAAAAATAGCACAAAAATACCGCAGCACCAGCCTCCAGCCGCTTTAAAATAGGCCATGTAAACCTTGCCTGCTATAGTACCAGTTTCTCTAGTTTCTTTTATTTCTGATGGTTGGTCTTCCGCTGGTTCGCAAATGTTGAATTTTGCATCTGGAATATGTGAAAAAAATTGGTTATGCTTTACACCTTCGATAGAAACCCCAATTACCTGGATTGTCAGTAAAATCGTCTTCTTCTTCAATCTGGGCTTTAAATAGTTTTGAAAATTCACCATCGCCGTTTTGGATTTCCTGATAGGTGCCGTTGGCAGTGATTTTTCCGTTTTCCATAATATATATTCTGGATACTGATTTGAGATATTGCAGCTGGTGAGTTACTAGTACGGTGCATTTGTTGTTTAGGAAACCTACACAAATAATAAAATGATTAGGGTTCCCAAAATTACTATCAAATTCTTACCTGTTATACAATCCTCAAATAATTTTTTCCCTACATGAGTATCCACGGCTGACAATGGATCATCCAACAAATAAATATCCGCTTCTTTATACACTGCTCTAGCCAAATTAATTCTAGCCCGTTGTCCTCCACTCAAAGTAACACCTCTATCGCCTATGACGCATTTGTCACCGAAGGGCAGAATCTCAAAGTCCCTTTCCAGAGCACAAACTCTCACCACGCGCTCGTAACGTTTTTTAATGTACTGCTCTCCAAAAAGAATATTCTGACGTATAGTACCAGCAAAAAGCCACGGTTCTTGCGACGAATAGGAAATTTGTCCAACTATATCCTTGAGGCCTTTGGTCATCGATAATTCCTGCATTACTACGTGCAGTAATGAGGTTTTTCCGGAACCAACTGCTCCAACTATCGCCACTAGTTGTTTGGGGCCAACATTGAAATTAATTCCTGATAGAGTATTTTCCTGAAGATACTTGTTCCATTTGGCTGAAACGTCGTGCAAATAAATCCCCACGGACTTTTTGCTGGCGGCATTTATTAACGGTGTGGAAGAATGGATGATTTTTCTCTGATTTTGCTTGATTTGGAGCTTTTTGACTTCGTGGAAGAGCAGAAACATTTCGATCCTTTTAATGGAGACTAGAGTTTCTGCAAGGTCGGTGACTGCCTGAGGGAAATTGTTGGTCATTGCTGTTTTGATGATGTTGTAAAAAGATTGGACGACGTAGACAAAGCCCGCATTTGGACGATTTCCGGTGAGGGTGTATGTTAGGATGCAGAGGAAAATTGACGTTCGAGTGATGAATTTACTGAAGGAGACGTGAATGGCTCTGATGTAGGATGCGAGACGGATTTGCTTGATTTCCATCCTAAATAAATGGTATTAGTTTTGTGTATACTAAGTGGATACATGATGTCGTAGCGTTTTGGTTGAATAAACAAATAATTTCAATGAACAAAATACACGAGCTAGTCGATGATATCTTCTCCTCCATTGTTTTCAAACATGATTTCGAACGATCTGGCAAATTGTATAAGCTGCACTCCTGAAGAAATCAGGTGGATTAGGATCAGGAAAATACGACGAATATGAAATAAACTCTCACCGCAAGGTCTCGGTCCCGAATATCCATGAATAGAATCGTGCTGCAAATTCACTCTATAATGTTTTCCTATAGAGTATTTTTCAGAATATTCCATCTTTTTGCCTCACCAGGAAACCAAAACCGCTACGAACTTATGCATCAACGTAATATCCACCTATTGGCGGCTCGTTAAAAACATAGATTTGAATATGTAAACATTCATCAGTTAATTGATTCAACTATCACATGCCATATACTACACCGATTTCAAAATAAAACTAATTCGGAACTGGATTATTGGATATGTTGAATTTCAATTGGGGAAAACCACTGATAGACAATACATGCCGCAACTATGGTTTCTGAAATGATAATCTTACCTTCTTATTTTTTCTATGAGTGTCGAAAAGTAATCTTCCCAATTGTACATTTTGATTACTTGGATTCCTGATATTATTTCGTTCATGTTTCTTACCCGATCGTCGGTTTTCATTGCGGTTTTTAGTCGGAATTTTGATTGTAGCCTTCCCATAATCACTAAAACAAACTTTCTGGTAAAAAATGCTAGAAGCGCCCTTTAAACTACTTAATCGAAACATTTCCTTGTTCTACGAGAAAAATCAGTTCACTTACTCTGTACAGGCATAAACAGTACAATAAGCCCAAATCCAGACAATGACGTCAATCCAACGTCATAGTACAGCAAATACATGATGAGTATAGTTTCCAGGGGCGCCACCCAGAGGTAATGAAAGTATCTCATGCAGGAATCGAACCGGGCCACATCATTTGACAACAGATTTATCATTTGTCCTATGGTTGTTTCTACTAAAGCTGTTTTGCTGAGTTTAAGGGTTTTTCTGAAAAAAACCAGCAATAATTTGCTTAATAAGGTATTAAACATAGTGTTACAAAATTGAATTCACAACTCGGCCAAATTTTTAGGAACCTAATTGTTTACGAGCACGTCTCTTCTATTGTAACAGTGTAAATTCCTATATTTTAACAGCGCTGGCTTAGGCGACAGTGGTTGAGAATAGCTGTCTATAACGATCTTCTTGATTCATGTACGCCTTAATTGTATATATCGAATAGTAACATAAATACAATGCTAGATGATTTGCGTCTCAAGATAGACTGGGAGATCTTTTATCTGAATTAGATAATTGTTAATCGGAATGTCTTACAGACGATTTCAACAGAGTCGTCTACGTCAACTATTAAATTGCAAGTGAATTCAAAAATTTCGGGATAGTAAATCCCATCATCAGGGGCAATAAATTAGCTCATATATTAACAAGGATGGATATCATAGGCTGCCAGATTATGCATTTTGTAGAGGAAGAAAAGGTCAAAAATAAGTTAAAAATTACTGTGTCATATTAATTAAAAAGGGTAATAATAGAATTAGGTTCAAAGTACATAGCTGTAGAAAGTTTTAAGTAAACTTCATTGAAAAACTTACTATCCGGCTCAAAAGGACATAAGATTATTGTGGAAAGAAATAACACGACTATAAGTGGAAGAAATTTTAAGTTACAGCGTGAAGTCAAAAAGGGGATCTATATGTTAACAGTGGACAGATTAATTGAACCTTTTACTCACCAGTGCCATATTTCAGCTGACAAGGACTTATGGCATAAAAGATTGGGTCATGCAGGTCATGACGCAGTCATGCAGCTAGGTTTATCAAAATCTGATAAAATATGCAGCAGTTAATGGAAGGAAAGGCAACAAGGTGTCCATTTAATGAGAATAAGAGGACCTCGACTGCTATGGGAGATCTGGTAATAGTGATATCTGCGGACCAATCAATCCAGCCACTATAGATGGTGTTAAGTACTTTCACACTGTATTAGATGATTTTCCACATTTTTTAGTGAGAAAAATATTAAAAACTAAAGATGAGGATAGCATGAATCTTATTCAATATGTAAAAGACCTTGAAACACAGCACCAGGTTAAGGTCAAAGCATTTAGACTGGATAATGGAGGGGAATTTCTGTCGAGTAGTTTTAGGAATTTTTGTAAGAAGAATGGTATGACTTTGGAGTATCTATATCATGCCATATACCCCCCAAGAGAATGGAAAAGCTGGACGAATGAATAGAACTCTATTGGATAAAATAGGAACCAATATTATCGATTCAGGTATTCCAAAAACACTATGGGATGAGGCTCCAAAATGTTCCGTGTATGAACTAAATAGAATTTCAACTAGAGCTTTATCTAAAAAAGTAACACCCCTCGACAATTTGGCATGGACGAAATGATCTGAGTAAGCTCAAGATTTTTAGGTGTCGAGCCTGGTTAACAATTATACCAAAAGGTGATAAGTTAGATGCTAAGTCAAAGCAGGTTATGGTGGGATATTGTAGTGGTGGCTACAGATTGTGGTTACCAGATGAGCAGAAAATCCAGAGACGTAAGATTTGATGAGACTTTAATGAACTACAAGAAAAGCCATGAGAAGATAGGGATAGACAGTGAACCAAAAAAAAAATAAAAACAGCCAAACTACTTACCTGATGAAGAAGAAGAAAGATAAGAGGGAGAAGAGAGACAAGAAGAAAATTATATTGAAGAGAGACCTGTTCAAAAGACTTATTATATGCAAAGAGGCAATGGAAATTCAAGTAGTAATGACATGGAATAAAAGGACTATAACAAGACATGGAAGATCTGTGAACAAACTCAAAATTCTTGATGACTATGAAATATACAGTGCCTATTGTTTGCACACAGCGACTCCAGATGAGCCTAAGAGTTATGCAGAAGCCAAACTGCAGAGTGGAGAGAAGCCATAAAGGAGGAAATTAATCTCATGAAAACTCTCAAACTTGGATTCCAGCAGAACTTCCTGAATGTCAAACAGATATAGACACGAAGTTGATTTTTAAAATAAAAGAAGATGGTATGGTACAAAGGAAGCAAGAATAGTTGCAAGAGGTTTCCAAATACCATATAATAAAAGTGATGAATTCATTTCTATGCCCCAGTGTGTAGGTTAGCCACATAAGACTACGCATATCAGTGTCTTCACAGAATGGTTGGAAACTGCATCAGATTGATGTCCCTTCTGCATTTCTTAATGGATTCCTAGAAAATGATATGTACATTCAAGCACCTGAAGGCTTGAACACAGATGCAAAATATTCAAAATTGAGACGGGCTTTATATGGACTTTGTTGATAATGCTGTGATAATTAGACGGGGGCGGATTCTATAAGCTCAAAGCGAAACAATGACGTTCGTTATGGGACGCTTTGTTCGGTTTGCTATTCTATAACATCTTTCGGGAAGAATCGGGGACTCCGATCACGAAGCCGATTGCAAAGCGAAAGCGATGAATTTTGGCTTGCGTTTTGTTTCGCTTTCCACTGGAAAATTTCCAATTTCCATCGAGATTGGTCGATTATCGTCACGCTAGAAAATTACGGGTTATATTATTGGTTTTGATCTTGACGAGGTTTTCATTATATTGATTTTTCATTGTTTGCACAATTTAATTTCACTCTATCAAATTTCATTCATCAATTTATTTATAATTTTGACTGTGCAACATGGAGAAAAGGTCAAAAAAACATCCGCTTCAACCTCCTATCTGTTAAACCAAATGGGCCACTTCTAGCTCAAATATCTAAGGTATTATATACAGTCTTTTTATTCATTGTTCGGAGGAACCTACTGTCTTCTCGCGTTAACCTGAGTTGATTTCTTTGCTCGAGCTCTGTATATACCTACAACAAATTTGTACCGGCAACATTTTCATCGCACAATAATATGAAAAATGCAAGATAAATACTAAGAAAGAAAAATAGGAATGATTAATTATGTCATTGAAGTTTCAAAATAATCAAAATCCAAATTTGGGGTATGTTCCATAATATTTTCCTTTTGATTTTCTCTTCTTTTTTTACAGTTTTTGCTTTGGGCTCAGATATCTACAATGTTGCCATAATTATTTATGCATACGTCGTTCAAACTCGAATTCAGTCGTGTGACACTAGGAAAACGAAGCGGAAGCGAAGCGAACACCTTATAGAATATCAACAAAAATCGACTTCGCTATGGTTTAGCTTAGCTTTAGCTTGGTTTCGCGATATAAACGAAAATTACAGAATTCCCTAGCAGAACATCAAGTAAAGGAACTTTAGAATGTACGACACTCGGTCATTTTCCACTCCAATGGAAATCAATTTTCAAATGGATATAAATGCTACAGTGGTAGATAATGTTCCCTATCGAAGATTGGTACCTATGTATCTAACTTCAGTGAGCAGACCTGATATAGCATATGTCGTTGCTTATTTGTCCCGATTTTTCGATAAACTCACTTTATGTACATGGAAAGCATCTAAGAGAATTCTTCGGTATCTAAGCTGTACTATTGACTATGGACTAACGTTTACCGGATCGGCCAATGAACTTGTAGGTGTATGTGATGCTGATTGGAGAGGTGATCATCATACTCGCAAGAGTGTGGGTGGATTTGTATGTTTTCATGTAAAGAATCCAATAGCCTGGTATTCAAGAAAATAGAACTGTGTCGCATTGTCCTCAATGGAGGCAGAATAGTTACATTTCTGCAGGACTGGCAGTACAAGAACTTGTTAATCTAAGGGTGTTCTTAGTGACTTCACAGGTATGTGTGGACCAGTGACTTTGAAATTAGACAACCTAAGTACCATATCTATGATAAAGAACTGTGACAATTCTAAACGTAGTAAACATATAGATATAAAATATCATTATATCAAAGATGTTTATTTGAAAGGATTTATATTACTTAAGTATGTTTGTTCTGTAGAAAACTGTGCAAATATGTTCACAAAATTTTTAGGAAAAGAAAAATTTGTGAAGTTTAGATTGTTTGTTAAACCAATACACTACGTGAAAAAATTGCATTATACGGCAATTTAAACTGTATTAAGTGAATAATGTGAATTTGTTAATACATCTAGTAATGTCAGATAGAATCGTGTCTTGTCTCCATTATTAATAGTTATTAGTCAGTTTTTCTCGTTATTTCAAATTTCACCATTATATCTTCTACTAAAAATCGCTTCCAGTGTATTATTTGTCAGAAATCACAAACCAGTCAGAGTAAATTTTATTGGTTGAAACCAGTTTTCTGACGCGAGCATCACATTTTTTTTCATTTGCTGTTATTTGGGGATGAATCCACATTTCATGCGAATGGTGACTACTTTACAAAATATATCCGGGATATACAGGGTGTCCCACTAAGGTCGGCCGACGGCCAGGTACGATATTATGGAAACCATAGACCTTATGTAACTTGAAAACGAATGCAGATATTGAATTGCGGTTTGCGCCAAAATGTAGATATTATTTTGCTCTTTAAGCACAGCAATACAAAAATAATATCATGCCATCTGGATTTTTCATGAAAATTAGAAAAAACTGGATCTTGGATAAACAGCGCCCTCTAGAAGACGCGGTGGGAACTATCGACCTCGAACGAAGTGGTGTTCTCAATAACAATGAAATTCTCTTCCAAATAAGCCCAAATTGAATGAGTTTGGATGAGGGGTATGGAAGATACAGCAATTTCTAAAACTATTTTTTCTCCAGCTTCCCCCACCCTTATTAGTGAAAATACGAAAAAAATCTCAATAACCAAACTGGCGTAGAAATTAATGAACTTTTGATTTCTGTTGTTCAAACAGTATCTTAATATAGCGATTTCTTGAGAAAAGTTGAATTTGTAGCTATATCATCGTAATTGCGCCCCCTAGCGGTCATCCTAGAAAATAATTTCCATCAATATCTCTTGGCCGATTTAGTGAAGAAAAAAAAGATCCCGAAGCCGTAAGGTCTATGGTTTCCACAATATCGTACCTGGCCGACCTTAGTGGGACACCCTGTATAAGTATGGATTGGATTTTGTTAATGAGTTCCTCATTGGTCCACACTTTTTACCTCAATGATTAACAAGTAGGTAAAGTTTCCAGAATCTTGTAATTAAACTGATGAACCTGGTATAAATTAGGTCATAAAGAAGAAGAGTTCAGGTTAGTTTGGTAAAGTTTTATGTATCTTACTTAGTAGAGACAGTTGAGAAATCATATTTTTTCCGTTATAATTAAGGTTTATTGATTATTGTAAATATGAATATATCTATACATCATTCGATGTTTATCTCCCTAAGTGGCAACACAGAGCTTCAAAGTTAATGCAGTAGGTACATTGGAAATCTGAGTAAGTCTACCTACATTTTTAACGTATACTTTTTGATTTGTGATTGCAAAGTTACGCCCTACTCATGAGTATAATTTCATTAATATTGGATCGTTGGAGTTACACCCTAAACCTACTGAGTCGTCGAATTTTTTTAGCAATACATTATTGTCCAAACATTGATTTAGCATTCAATAGAGTGGCTTTCATTTCAAAAATTATAATTGGCATTTGATCATACTAGGTCAAGAATAAGGTGAGTACCTACATTATGGATATCTTATAAATAACGTATAATTACCTGTATATTAATGAACAACATGCAATCCTCATTTTCATCCCCAAATGTAAGCTGGCCAACATATAGCTATGCGTTATGACAACAGACAAGAATAATGACATAATCAGGAGCCCAGCATAACAATAGGCTTCTTGTAGGGTAACGGTAGTTTGCTTTGGTACGTAATATTGCATAAGTTTGCCCAGGGCAAGCGGTTGCGACAACCCCAAAATAAATTCTTGCACGAACAGAATAATGCCAAATAAAATGATATCTTTACGGAACATACGCCATAAGGCCCTCAAAAGCAGCGGTTCCGCGTGATGCATTCGCTCCAGCTTCCATTCTTCTTCCAATTTGTCGCCGAGCCGGTGAGATTCGTGTTCTTTTAGTGGTTTATATAAATCATCCTCGCCGAAATCTTTTATCCAGCCCTTGTAAAAGATTGGCAAGCCCCAGCTGCAACAAAAATAACGAAACGAAAATTTTATTTTCTGGGGATTGAGTAATTTAACTAACGAAATATCAATTTATTACCAAAGGATTGAGGCTCGAAATATTAATTTGGAATTTATCTTCTTTGAAGTAACACTGTCAAATTTTATTTTAAACTGCATAAAGCATTGGCGCTAAAGCTTAGGTACCTAGCTTATGTTAAAAATTCATTTGTAACTTTTTTTTAAGTTTTAATCTTCAAGTTCGTAAATGTCGTTAGGTATACCTTGGTCTAACAGTGCGGCTTAAGTTGAACTGTTTAAAACATTAGCAAAAGGTAATTAAACGCTCGTTCAAATTTTAAGTTACGTTTAGGAAGCTTTACTTTGATGCAAGAGCATAGCATAGTGGAAAATTAGTTTACATTTTAGAGAAAAACCAATGTTGTAGTGTAGTTAGAGAGAAAAGCTTCAAACAAGTGCGATTGCTCGTCTTTTGTTCCCAAAAATTTGCAGTTTTAACGATAAATTGAAAATTTAAGGGAGAAAATAGCTATTGTATTAACGTCCATTGTGTTATAAAATAATATCAAAGATATAAGGGTCGAATGATCATGTCAAAAAAAAAAACATTGATAGGTCAGGGACGAACAAGATGAAGTTATATACAGTAAGTACTCAGAAAAATTAATGAAAACCTGGAAATCTCATAAAGCTGATATTTAGATGACGCTAGACATCAAAGCGCTGCGTTTCTGGTCAACAACGCATTACTGGATAACAAACTTTTTAAGGCCATACCGTTATCAAACAACTATGCTCCAGAGTCAGAAACGAATGCTGTCCGACATTTTTCGCTTTATAAGTGGAACGAATATGATGGTTTTCACGATTCTGGAAACCAAGAAATTGGCTTTGTTTCATATTTATTACCTCACTAAAGGCAAACAACGCAAAAAGGTGTGAAGACTATCTTTCTTATCAGCCCAATGAAACATTTTCTGAAAATCTTACATGAAACTCAGTAGATTCAGCCAGTTTGGAAATCCATTTTCAGAATTTTAGATTGCACATATTGTTTGATGTAGAATCAAGGAGGCTACGTTTTGTTGATTATATGAAAAAGTTATCGATATGTTGATAAATAACATATCTCCAGCATTTGAGTTTAGACGATGAGAGCACGTCGCCAACTATTTAGTAGTGGAACCAACTAGCTGAAATATGCGTGCATGATTCAACTTGGTCCACCATGTAAGAAATGACGATGTACTTCGAATGGCTGAACTAGAAAATCGAGAACTATTTGAATATAACAAGCAACTAGCACGGTTACATTGTTCGTAGAGAAAGTTGTAGTTTCCAGCGCCTCATTTTGCAAACAGAAATCACTCTATTAGAAGAAGAAAAAGGAGAAGAAAGTTCAGACGAGTATCAAAGAAAATTGTGATAATCCGGGAGAATACGACAAAGTAGGTATTGTGGAAGTGTGGAAAAGTATAGAGAAATCCGAGGAAATATTTAAAGAGGAAGTTTCTATGCCAAACTCTTGGCGTAACAACGACTGCAGTAAAACCAACGAGAATAAATGAATTTGATAATCGTTGACGGAAAATTATATTCATGAATGTAGGTAGAAAAAAAAAAGCGCATTTAGAAAGTGCTTGGAGACTTTTTGCCAGATTGTTTCTGAAATTTACAGTCTAAGAGAGAGTTTAAATTTTCCATTCAAGATCATGGTTATGTGTTATTAAAATTATAATGTTTCCCATAGTTATAGCACGTGAATATCGTTATAATTATACTGCTTGTATGAAACTATTATAATACCTACCTAAAATTAAATGAAACTCGTTTAAACTTTAAACTTCATTTTATTAGACAAATTGGGCTTTAGTGTGATGTCTTAGAACATCGTTGAAGTTTAATTTAACTTTATAATTACGTAGAAAAGCGCTTGTTGAAAGTAAAAAGCATCAAGCGAACGATCGAGTTATAGTGTTTGCGGAGTTTCGTTCTGGCAAATTTGTAAAATCTCTATAATCTTATGCTAAATTTTGAGTTTTTATTAGAAGATATGAAATTATTGTCCCAATTAATGCGGTGTCACACTATGCGTTTTTACCGCTGCGGCAAGAAAAGATGCGTTTTGACTGGATGAACTCTACTTGTCACTCTATCCCATCGGGATCCGTTTTAACGGGATGTTTCGCCAGTCGAATTTTGGTAGTATATGGCGGATTCATTGAAGATTGTGTGTGCTCTAGAAGCGGAGGGTTTATTAGGAAAGGTGGTGAATTGTCAATATTGGATTCACCCTGGTTTGCAAAGTTCTACGACAAAATTCGAAAGTCTGTATGTTTTCGACTTTTTCTCCCATAATACTTGTTTACCGTGGAGGCACTCAATGAATAAATCCACGTCAAACATGATGAAATTTGATGAAAAAACAAATAACTAACCACGAACTCAAAAATTGCTGAAGAAGCGCTGCGATCGAACCGTCAGGTGTGACTACCAACATACAACTGCACGTGTTTTCGTTCTATCGTAGTCGTCCGGTCATGCGGTGCCACCGCAGCATGATGCGGTGACACCACACTTGTTCACATAGTAGGTATCAAAGATAACCGAGAATTGGGAATTTAGAAACTAGCTTTATTAGAGCTTTCCAGAGCAAATAACTCTGCTTATGGTATAGTTATATTTTCCCCAAATCAAATATTCATATCATTGGCGTAGTGAGTTAATCAAATTTCCTAATTATGAAAGGATCGAAAATCAAAACGACAAATCCCCTGTTTATATACAATTTGAATACCTACCTTATTTATGTGTATTGTGCATTGTCAATTTTAGATGATGGAGTATGAAGCAAGAATAAATTATTTTCTATAGGCAGTACGACTGAAAACGACTGATTTTTAGTTTTTAAGGCAATAATAATGGTAGATTGTGATAGAAACAGTATTGTTGTAATGTAGTACTTAAGGCATTTAAAAGATTTTTTGCTCATGTTATGATTATGACATAGTATAAGTACTGATGTTAGTTAATAAGGCTGCTTTGTCAATAACAATTTAGTTGAGACAATAAAGCATAATTTGATTTGATTTGATTTGATTTGATTTGATTTAGTTTGCCAAACTACGTTCCAATTCGTTAGAACTGCTCTTCCGTGAAACCTTTCGAAGTTCTCCGTGCTAAAAATTCTACCGCTCCTTTTTTGCGTTTTCTTAATGTGTCTTTACAATAACCAATGTTTTTTTAACTTTTTGAGCAAAATTTGGTGAGATATGGTGTCAAAGGCTTTTGCTAGGTCAACATAAATACATATGGTTGGGATGTTTTTATCTACTGAATTGTATACTTTCGCAATAAAATCCACCAATGCATCTTCTGTAGACCTTCCTTTTCGGAACCCATATTGACTGGTTGATAATAATGCGTTATTGTCTAGGTGCTGTGTTAATATGATGGTTAAGACATCGGATCGCGTACTTAACAACTTCGGTGGGGACTAGTGTTCAGTCTTATTTCCTAATGAAGGCTAACTGTTCTATATGAGCAGTCGAATCTATATTGTGACTCATATTCTATTTATGACTGAGTCTATAACCCAGGGCCGGTCCTAGCCCCTCTGCCGCCTTTGTGCAGATATGAAAAAGCCGCCCTTATTCAAAACAACTACATTTTTCAGTGAATATTATTTCATTTGAATTAGGGCTGCCTATTCTGAAATCGGCTACGTAGGACTAATGATGCAAGAACTCTGGTTGTGGAACACCTCAATCCCGAAAAATATTTTGGACGAAAAGCTCGCCGCAGACGCCGCCGGAGGCAAAAATCTTATCGGGTGCCCAAAACAGTTAATTTTAGGCCTTCTTTGTGTGATAATAATATGGGAGGATACCTCTCCTATTGGTTAGTCCACTGTGAACGCTTTACTATTCACAGTAGACTACCACTGTGAATAGTAAAGCGAATTTGCAACATTTGAAATTAAGGGCAAAATTGCAAGTGGTACACATAGCTCCATTTTTTTGCGATTTTCAAAAATTCTTTCTAGGCTTAGTTTCTGTGAAAAGCCTTACCTAAGTATGAAATTTAATTTTCCAAAAAAAATAATATATTTTACGGTTTCTTACTGCGGCCTGCGGCCGCCCTTTTAGTTTGGCCGCCTTTGTGCCTGCACAACCTGCACAACCTGCACTCGCCTAAGAACGGCCCTGCTATAACCATTAGTGTAGTTTTCTGAATTTAGCATAATACTGAATTAATGATGGTATACCTCTATTCTAGACGCACAATTTATAGTTTTTCGTTGACTTTTATCGATCATCTATAGATACGGATTTCCAATTTCACTTTTATTGCAATTTAATCCATATTCACTAAAAAGATAAGTTCCAATAGCTATTGCAATAATTTAATATATATTTTTTTTGACCTCTGAACACACTTTCTACACAAAATTATTTAGGCCAATCTTATTTAACAATAATTCTACCCCTAGACTCACATGAAATTTAAAGAATTGAGAAATCAGGTGAACATTATTAAAAATGTACAGAAAAAAATCTAGTATAAGAGTTGAATGATATTAGGTAACAACAAGAGGCTGTTTCGTAATTAATGAAGCACTTACCAGAAAAATAGGTTAGATAGAAAGTTCGCTTTGCACCTGGGATGATCAGACTTGTTCCGGAATTCATCGGAAGCACTATCATCCATATTAGGTCCAACTACAGATTGTTTAAAATGTTCTCCCTGCAAAAACATAGTGTAGATATTAATAATAATTAAAAAAAAACTATAACGGCAAAAGTCTGATAACAGCAAGAGAAAGGGTAATTTATTTGAAATATTTCAATGTTTACATTGGAACTTAACAATTAATGTTTTCGTATAATGAATGACGTTTCACCTTTTTGAAACCATTATCGTCATATCCCAAAACAAAAATTTATGATTTAATAGACTTTGGGTCTACTCTGATATTTTTTTGTTGATTTCAAATATCAATTAACACTAATTTGTCAATAAGCACATGATGACCATTATTGTTTGGAAATGTTGCTGATGATAGGTCATCAATAAAGCCGGATATTTATATAACATATTATTTTAAACAAAACGGTAAATGTTATTAATTTTTTTGATTCATCATTTGACTGAAACTAAAATAAGTAGGTACCTACTCAATTGTTGAGCAAATTCATAAATAATATAGGCGATTCTATATTATGTTATTAATGAAAAATAGGTATATGGGTTTTTGTAAAAAGCAGCAATTTAACATAATAAATCAAAGACCAAGTTTGTATATTGTATTTGTATTGATTAATATGGTAAAGTTTCAATAATTATGTACAAGCTGTAATGATACCGAGCTGCTATGAACAAATTTAGAAATAGTTGTCTCAATTTTACTTGTTGACCTGTAGACCAATTACCACCTAATAAATCACATTAGATATTTAATATTTTTTTTTTACCTGAATGCACTCACAAATTAACCACTCACCCGAAGACTATGCAATTCACTATTCCTATTATTATTAACTCAATAACTATGTACCAGTACACACCCGAACTGAATCTTGAGTAACCATAATTTAAAGTGGGAACCCCTACTGGGTCATTTTTTTTTTGTTCGAATTAGTAAAGTTACTAAAGGTTCTTTTTTGATCTGTAGCAATACCAATTGCTTCGGTCAATGGAACCGGTGTTGGCACATGGTTAAGTTTTTGTGAGTGGGTAATGGAAATTTTACGGTCAGTTTGATGCAATTATTATTGTTTTACAATACAAATTGTTCTATTAATTCTCACGATGGTATATATTAAATATTAGGTTTATTATTGTCGAATTGCAGTGATAAATCGGAAATTTTAAGTGCGTTTTCCAAACCAGATAAATTATACCTAGCATGCTTTATCAAAATTTTGAAAATATTTCCAGTGAATGTTTTATAATTATTGTTTTATGAAAGAGCGAACTTCATACTGGCTGACCCAGTCCAACATAGCCTTTAAACGTTAATCAATTTTGGAAAATTGTAAGCAGTGTTGTATTTTTGCTTACTAGAGGCTCCTATAAACAAAATTGCATTTAAACCGCTTAGATCCAAATTATGGACCGACTGGTAACGTCTTTGGCAAATTCAACCTGCTGGTAAAACTGTAAATTGCATGCAATTTTTAATTTTACCAGCAGGATAAATTTGCCAATAACGTTACCAGTCGGTCCGTAATTTGGCCCTTAGGCAAAGAGATCTCACCCAAGGACGTATATAAGGTGGGGGGGTTTGGGGTTTCGAACCCCCCCCCCCATTGAACTGAATAAATTATTTTTATTGAAGAAAAATAAACGTAAAAAAATTCGCCTTTGACGATATCCTGATGGGCTTCAGAGCTGTGCGGTACTCGGGTACGGTACGAGTACTCTAAGTAGGTATATTTTTAGTTACTCGGTACTCAGGCCAAGATATTTCTGAATCGCGTATTTGTACTCGTACTTGGACTACTTAAGAATATAGAAAATTAGGTACCTACCCGTAATTTTCAAAATACCCGCGTACATGCGTTTTTACTTAAATACATTTGTTATACCCGGGTATTATCATTGTTTTCGAATACATTTGCAATTGGTGAGTGAAATTATTGGACTCTTAACTAAAAACATATTTATTTGGTCACAAATACATTTCCAGACAAGTTGAGATCTGACATTAGGTCTGTTCCAACACGTCAAAAACCGTCCCATGAACGGTTTCGAAACCACTCAGTGAACGAATTTCGGTTTCTACGCGCAAATTTTACAGTTTGCGCAGAATCATGACGATAAATTATGTTACGGTTACGATATGACCAATTTTCAGCCATTTCTTGTTTAGCATCAGATGCTTAGCATGCGTTCCATTGATCGTTGTGATTTGCAAACGAAAATTTTGAACTTTTCAGTGCACTGTGACATTGTGTCTGTGGCCATAAATTTGGAAATTCTGATTTCCTTTCACAATAATTATCAAAAGCTACCTTGAAGCACAACCCAAACACGGTCATAAGCAACCCAATTGCAAACCCTTAAAGCACATGTTATAATTTAGATTTTGGAAAACTTTGAAAGGTCATAACTTTTTTTCTATTATAGATAGGAAGCTGAAATTTTCACTGAATTTTATCTAAAAAAAAAAAGGGTTATTTGAAACTCCGAACCCAAGGGCTTCATTTTCGAGAAAATCAGCTTTGAATCTTTTGTGAAATTTGAGACAAAGTTTTGAATTTGAGCCTCAATATCTCCAGAAGTATTTAAGATAGAGAATTGAATCTTATTTTATCTTGAAGATAATTTAATTTTGATTCAGAATATATAATTTTACATCATATTTGTTGCAATAATAACCGAGTAATGAGCGATTTTATGAGACAATGTCAAATTATTCAAATTTTCTGGGCCCAAAATGTGGGGAAAACGGTTTTTATTTTTTTACAAGCCCTAAAACCAAAAAAAACAAAGTTGCGTAAATGCTTTTTCACTAATTTTCACCTCCTCTTTGGATTGGTAAAGGGTAAAGTCAAAAATTGCAAAATCCAAAAATTTTAATTTTTTCAAAGGGATATGCATGAAAATTTGATTTTCAAATATTTCAAAGGGCCATATTTTAGAAACCAGTAAAGCTATCGGCATGAATCTTTCACTCAATTATAGCTCTGGAGAAGAGCTATAAAAAAGGTTATTTGAGACTCCGAACTCAAGGGCTTCGTTTTCAAGAAAATCAGCTTTGAATCTTTTTTGAAATTTGAAACAAAGTTTTGACTTTGAGCCTCAATATCTTCAGAAGTATTTAAGATAGAGAATTGAATCTTATTCTATCTTAAAGATAATTTAATTCTGATTCAGAATATATAATTATACATTATAATTTCTGCAGTTATAACCGATTCCTTATAAACTCTGGACTCTGGATAACCAAATCAAACTTCAAAATTGCTGAATTCATTTAGTAAACCAAAATGTGTTTTTCAATTTTTGATGTGTGAACATCTATACCGGCGGTTTGATGGTAAATTTTGGGAAATGTGACGCAAGTGTGAAAGGGGAGGTGACGTCATAATTCATGTGCAATGCTAAGTTCGCAGCTACCTTAGCGCTTGCAGCCTATGAGGATTCATTAGATTTCCATGATAGACCAGGCTGTTTAAAAGAGGACGTTGCGTAATAACTTGTACTCATGACTTCATTGGGTAGGAATACAAGGTGGTATTAGAATGTATTCATAAATGTACACGGTACTTTAAATACTTGGGTATTGAATTCTTGTAATTGTACTCTGTACTCGTGAACACTCTACGCTAAGTACTTGTACCCGGTAGCCGAATACATTTTGTCTGTACTTGAAACAGCTCTTACTATGCTACGCCCGGTCGCCTATACATCGTCTGGTCTAAAATTGAAACCCTTTCCAGCATAGACCATGAGCAGCCATTACTACTCTAAACCCCCCCCCCCCCCATTTGAAAGCTATAGCTACGTCGTTGATCTCACCAATAACTTTGTAGCTCTCAATCTGGGGAATTACTCCTGTGAAGAATGGTGACAGTTATCGCTGTATTCTCTTCTTTTAACGAAATCAAAAATAAGGGCACATCTTTATGTTAATTCCCTTTGTGTTATATAGGGTGTCCTTGGATAAACTGACACTTTTAGCAGGTAAATATCTCGAAAACGAGGAAAGATAACGAGATGCGGGAGAATAGGATTTTTTCTTCACAATACTGCCAAGTCCTAAAATTTGCCGAAATTCGGTTTCACAGACATGCGATTTTTTGAAATAAAATTACTGCCCTATTTTCAATGAAACACCCTGTATATTTTGTCATCGGCAGAAAGCCTGATTTTTCTACTTTACAAAAATGTATATTTTTTTCAATTATCTTGAAATCACATCGTCAAAATTGCACTTTGTTAAAAAGGGTAGCAATAACATGAGTACAATTAATTCAAAATTTTCCGGAGAAGAAAACCATTAAAGATCGGAACATGGAATGTAAGAAGCCTATTCGAAACTGTGGAAACTGGCAATATGATGCAATTTCAAGATAATTCAAAAAATATATAAATTTTTGTTAAGTAGAAAAATCAAGCTTTCTGACGATGACAAAATATACAGGGTGTTTCATTAAGAATAAGGCAGTATTTTTATTTAAAAAAATTGTATGTCTGTAAAACCAAATTTTATCAAATTTTAGGATTTGGCAATACTGTAAAAAAAACTTAAAAAAATCTTTATTTTCCCAAAACAAACCGCATCTCGTTATCTTTTTTCGTTGTATAGAGATATTTACCTGCTAAATGTGTCAGTTTCCCTAAGGACACCCTGTACAATGCCAGCCGAGGTGAACTAAATTAAATAAATCAATTCTCTACCAGCCAACCATTGGAGAACCTGATTAAGTCCTACAATACTAAAATTTAAGTTTGCTAGTTTTAAGTAGATATGTACAGTCCATCGATTTTAATCTGATACTCCAAAGGAATGTGAGCTGGTAACTCCTTACATTAGAACGCTAATGGTCACCTGATATCACACCTGTTTCTGTCATATGCTTCACCCCTTCGCTCCTCATATGGAAAGTGTCAGATTAAAAACAACGGACAATACCTACCTACCTATATCGGTCAAACGACTTTTGCATTAATAAATTGAGAGGAAAACGTCCAAATACATAATCAAATTTGAACTTTTCGGGAATTTCTTGATTATAGAT